ATTTCGTAGCCCTCCCTTTCCCTATCCCCCCCCTTTCGTTCGGCCCGATCGATCCCTGGACGACGGAGGGGCGGCGACGGCGCCACGCACTGCCCGACAGCCGCGCCAAGGCCTCGGGGAGGGGCAGCCGGAGGCCCCTGGAGGCCTGCCATGGAACAGGGAGCGACTGTTCCGGCATTCCTACATGCCTGCCATGAGATAACCCCAGGAAGCATTTAAGAACCCCCCCGGCGATATCGTAGCACCGCATCTTTTATTCGATATTCCGAAGGGCCGAAATAGCCGAACGATAGCTGCAGCACCCGGACACGATGATGATGATGATGATGATGATGATGGTGATGATGATGATGATGATGATGATGATGATGATGATGATGATGATCCACGCATCCAAGAAGGTCTGGAGCTCCCCGCTCGATACAGCCTCCCGAGGCCATGGCCTTTCCCGTGCCCAAGGCACACTCGCAGACTCGCCTGAAAGCCTTGAGGCCGCCGACCGCCCCAGCCAAAGGCAGGCGATCAGCAAAGCATCTGAGCCCTCACGGCGACTCAGCACGCAGACAGCTCAGCGCGCCACATCAGAGCAACAGTCCCCTGGGCACCAGGCCACAGACGGGGGCGACTTGCTCTGAGGTGACCTTCGGAGGCGATCCTGACGGTCGGCCATAGCCTACCACCACGGTTCGGCCTCCGCCTGGCGCGCACAGAGCACAAAGCGGGCTGGAGCGCAGCAAGCTGCGCGGGCTGTCGCGCCCAAGGCGCGCCAGCAGCTACATTAAACGGAGGCGCCGAAGGCGCCAAGCGACATACGTTGCCCAAGAGGGCGGGAGGGAGTGAACCCTGGCGTGTGCCGAGCCCCACGGGGCACAGCCTACGCCACGGGGTCCCTCCCCCCCCAGAGGCAGCGGCTCGGCGCAGGCATTCGTGATCCTTGGACCCGCCTGCGACCCGAGCTGATCAGCATGCTGGCTCGATCGGAGGCAACCATGGCGGTGTGCGAACCTACCACCACGGTCCAGCCTCCGACTGGCTGCACAAGCAGAGCATGCTGGAGCGCAAGAAGCGCTGGCCGTCGCGGCAAGCGCGCCAGCCACTACATAAAACGGAGCGCTCCAGTGCGTGGACACCTACGCACCTGGTCCAACTTCCGCTCGGGCGAGAGCCGTGCAACGGCACGAGCCTGCTCAAGAGCGGGACACGAGCGCCAAGCAAAGCTGCCGAGCGGCGCGGAATGCGCCTCGCAGCAGCGACTCCCCCCGCAAGGCAACACCCTCACGCGACCCGAGGCACCAAAGTAGGGTTTGGTTGCCTTGCGGAGGCAGCCCGAACAGCCGTGTGCAAACCACACGCCTGTTCTCGTGATGGCAGACAGAGCGAGGCGGCAAGCGTGGCAAGAAAGAGCCTAGCCACCATCGACGCGCCTGCGCATGCGCCGCAGCGGCTCAGGGTCGCCGATGCCGCCCGCCCCAGCGGGCTGCAGGCCGCGCTTCAGCCTGCTGAGCACCGCCTTCTGCCTATCGTTCTTGGGGGCCTTCGTGCACTCCGCTGCCAAGCCCGCCATCCTGCGGCTCTGCGTCCAGTAGCCGCACTTCACGCAGAAGAGGTGGCTACCAGCCCGCCACAGGTCGTGGGAGCCGTGGGCGTCCAATCCCCACCAAGGCGGGAGCTGCGGCGGCGGCAGCGGCGGGGTCCCGCCACCGGCCCCAGAAGGACCCCCCGACGTCGGTGGGCTACCCCGCTGGCCGCCGCCAGGCGCGCCGCTGCCAACTCGCCCTGCACTCGCCTCGTCTCCTTCCACCTGTGCTGGTGCCTCGCTGGCCTGACTGTGAGACAGCAGCGCCGCGCCCGCCGTGATGAGCGCCGCGGCTGCAGCGACCGATCCGCCACTGCTCTCGGCCCCTGAGGCCCAGGAGCCCGCGAGCGCGTCGCCCCTGCCCGCGCACCGCTGGCAGGCCCAGACCGTGTCGCCGTCGACGTCCAGCCACGTCCCGTGCCGCCCGCACGTGCGCTGCGGGCAGTCGGGGAAACTGCAGTGAGCTCGCCATCGCATCTTGCAGCCGCGCCAATCGCACCGAACTGCTCCCAGGCCTGGGCCCTCGTGCCCGTCCGCTGCCGTGAGCTCGGCGTCGCCTTCCTGCATCGCCGAACCCAGCCAGCAGAAGACCTTCTTGACGAGGCGATCCTGCATGCGGCTCCTATCTCGCACGTCGTCGTCGCTGGGATGCATCTGCGCGCCCTGCACGGCGCGGGCATCGGCGCTGTGATTGCCCCGCCGCTGCCAGGCCGTGACGCGCTCCGCCTGCGCGTCCGCCAGCGTGGCGTGAGCCTTCACCTTGTGGATGGTGACGCTGCCGACCCCTACGTCGTCGAGGGCCGCCCAGAACCGCACCCAAAGCTCGCGATAAGGCCGCTGCCACTGCAGGCACCACGCCCTGCCCGCCGCGAAGCCGTCCACGAGCAGCTTGCAGTCAGTGAAGATCCGCACAGGTGGTAGGCAGCTCTGGATGCCCTCGATGGCCGCCACCAGCTCCGCTGCCCCTGATTCTTAGGGATACGGCCAGGGGAGCGGGCCGAAGAGGCTGACTGCCTCGCTGTCGGGTCCCATGACGACGACCGCCCAGCCGCCGCGCGCCGAGACGAGGCCGGGGTCCAGAACGCTCCCGTCCGTGAAGAGGTCGCCCGAGAGCGGCTGCCCCACCAAGTCGGCATGACCCTCCTTCCGCGCCTCCCTGGCGTCGGTGGGCGGTGGCAGGGTCCTTCGGTGCTCGGGTGCAAGAGCGCGGGACCAAAGCGGGTCCTCGTCTCCCTCGATGCTGGCCATACCGACGATGGTGCGAAAGGGGATGTCGCCAGGGGGGCACCGCTCGCCCGCCTCTTCGTTGGAGATCCACTCGCCGCGGCTGACCTCGGTGGCTGGGCACTGCCACGCCAGGTGCCGCACTGTGCCGTGCGCAGGGCATCCCCTGGGGCACCAAGGAGAGGAGGCCAATGGGCGTTCCTCAAAGAACCGCCGCGCCACGGGCCAGAGACATCCGACCAGCGCGTTCTTGGCCGAGCTCATCTGCTTGGCCTTCTGCTTGCTCATGCGCTTGCGTGCCAATGTGCGCCTGATACTGGACAGGGCGCCTCCATCGCGCAGGTGCTCCAGTCCTGGGTGCTTGCTCGCTGCCCGCCACAGCGCCCTCTCGTGGCCATCGGCGATGTGCTTGGCGAGCGTGGAGGCCCCCAGGGTCCGTAGGTC